AGTACACTTCTCTATGCAACCTTAATTCTGGATTCCTGTGCTAACCATAATACTCAATCATATGAAGCTCTATCTTGCTGAGAATTTCCTACCTTCCCTCAGCCCACCTGCCATGATGGACCGTCTCCTGGTTGGGTCATAGGAATTTGGGAAGAGAGGTATTGGTAGGGTGAACAGGCAATTTTTCTCAAACCAATTCTAAAATAGATGTTAAACATGATCTAGTTCTTCCTTCCTCTCTTTAACTTAGAGATAAAAGAGTGGAAGATCCACAGTGAAGAAACAGCTTCACCAGGGTCACCCAGTTACGAGTGGCAGGTTCAGGCTTTACCTCAGGTCTCCAGGCCCCTAGTGTCCTCATGCTGGTTTCCACAGCTGGGGCAAAGTAAAGAGTGTGTGGGAACAGGCAGGGGGGCGATGGCAGCTGACAGCTCCCTCGGGGACAGGCTCTGTGGCTAACTAGTAAAGGAGACAGGGGCAACTTAACCCTGAACTATCACCTGGCAATTCCTAGAAGAGGAATGGTGCCCAGGCTGCAGAGCTCAGTGGGCAGTAAAATGTTCTGGAAGAGAATGCTTCTGCCAAGCCCTTGGAGTAAGAGTAGCGTGTGCTTAGGCAAGAGATGCCCTGGGAGCCAGCACTGCAGAAGTGGCCTGACTCCTCCAAGGAGCTGGGCCAGGGCTGCCTGAATTCCCAGTGGAAGGTGAAAGGTTTTGAGGGCTCCATCTCACACCAAGAAGACCTCAAACTACTGCCCTAGGTATTCCACCTCAGCAGAGGGGGCACAGTTCCGCTATCTGAAGGATGTTAGTTGTGTGTACCGCTGAGTCAGAACTGAACAGAGCTGACTGTTCAGCAGGTTTTCAGAGGCAGTTAATCATGCAGAAAGAGACTGTCCAACCTTTTCCTAACAGAGCAGCTGCTAGATTTGAACTGCGTACCTTTGGGATTGCAGCACAGCTTCTTAGCACTAGGCCACCAGAGCTCTAGAAGATAGTTCTCTTTTCCTCAAAACCTTTAGAATGCAGTAATAGTGGAGTTAGGAGGATAAGACTTCAATTCCAGTCCTGCCATCCACTTGCTAGGTGACTTTGGGCAAGTCCTTTTTAATTTTCAGGCCTCACTGGTCTTGGCTGGATGGCGGGTGTGCAGATGGGAGTGGTGTGGATGAGGCAGGGCTTGACGTCTGCATGCCCCTCTCTCTCGGCACAGAACTGAATGCACTACAAGAAGAGCTTGAACCATTTGGCCTGGTCATTTTGGGCTTCCCCAGCAACCAATTTGGCCAACAAGAACCAGGAGAGAACTCAGAGATCCTGCCCACCCTCAAGTGAGTGCTCAGGTGGCTCCCTGGGACACTGCCCTGGCACAGCGCCCCCCTCACCCTCTTCCCTGCCTCAGGCATCTTGGGTGGTCCCCCACTCCTGATGGGCATTGATCAGCCACTAAGAGCTACTGTCCCCTCCTAGGAACCTTGTTTACCACAGTGAGAGGAAGAGAGGGGCTCAGGGAGAGAGACAAGGATGACTGGCTGCCAAGTCCGAGGTGGAGGGAGTAGAGGGTGCTGACAAGGGACCAAGCTAGAAAGACTGCAGATGACACATTATGCCTTTGCTGCTCAACATTCAAAAGCTCCGACTGTCTCCTATGAATAAAATGCAAACTCTCTCATCCCTAAATTCGCATTCCTGTGCCCACCTCCTTGGGACCCATGTAAGAATATTCCCCACAGGTATGTCCGCCCAGGTGGAGGCTTTGTCCCCAACTTCCAGCTCTTTGAGAAAGGCGATGTGAATGGGGAGAATGAGCAGAAGTTTTACACCTTCCTCAAGGTGAGTGTGCTGTGCACTTGGGAGAGTGGGCCCGCAGCCGCTGGCTGCGTGGAGCCCGCCTGCGTGGAGACAAAGCCCACACCACGCTTCCCTGCCATCTACTGTTCCCACTAGACGGCTTGCAGATGAGGCTCACAATGGGTCAGAGCCACAGCTGGGATGGAGGCGGCTATTTTATGTCCAACAGTGCCAGTGTGTTCTGCTCCCCGTGGGGAGGCCTGGAGAACAGAAGGGGCTACTGCCACTAACTCCACCAGCTCCACTCTGAGCAGGACCCATGTTCCCCTCTTCTCCCTGCTCTAGAACTCCTGCCCACCCACCTCAGAGCTCATGGGCTCTCCTGGCCGCCTCTTCTGGCAACCTATGAAGGTCCATGACATCCGCTGGAACTTTGAGAAGTTCCTGGTGGGGCCGGATGGCCTGCCCGTCATGCGATGGTACCACCGCACCACAGTCAACACGGTCAAGATGGACATCCTGAACTACATGAGGCGTCAGGCAGCCTTGAGGAACAAGGGGAAGTAACTGCTGCCCATCCCACCCCACTCCCACCATGCAGGGGCTTGGGAGCACTCTTTTCAGGAAGGGATCCATCTCCAACCCCACTATAGTGACCAGATGACTCCTCACACGAGGCCCTTGCCTGCGCAGGTGTGTGCACACCTGTGCATGCTAGGCATAACCCCACGCGTGTCCGAGTGAACACCCAGGGACATGTACCATGGTGTGCCCACAGCTATGGGCTTGGCAGGGTGCTAGGGAATAACATTCTTTTCTTTCCAGTCCTCTGTTCCCATAATAAGCATTCATTTCCACCAAAGCCCAAAGGCACTTTAGGATTGCTGTCCTGCTCAAACCTGGAACTCGAATTTAAAAGCTATCTCCCACTGCCTCTCAATACGCACCCCAACCCCTGGGTCCCCAGATCGTCTCTGGTTCTACCACATGCCCAAACTTATCCATCCAAGAGTTATATTTTGTCTAAGCTCCTTCTCCTTCCTGGAGGGTCCTTCCAAGCCCCTGTCCCCACCCTTGTAGTGTTCCAACACCAGCCAAGACTGAGGTGAGAACAAGGGTTACGTGCCCATGTCAGGGGCGGCATCTCCATGAGGGTGGGGCCCGAAGCCCCCGTGGCGGACCTCCCCCGAGCCTGTCCCCCGGGCTAGCCCTTTGTGCATTCAGGCGAGGCCCTGGACAGGGATGCCACCCCCATTCTTCAGAGCACGTATCCTCCCCCTCCCCCTGGTCTTCTGGCACTAGATTCATGACTCCCTCTGCCTAGTAAAGGCCTTTCTGCAGCAGTTGAGTCTACTGTGGTTCTTCAGCGGTGGCTGCCCAGGCGCAGGGGAGGGGAACAAGAAGAGAAATGCAGTGGTTTGAGTTTCTCCTAGACCTGCTTAGCAAGAGGCGTTTACAGACCTTGTTCTCATTGACTCTCACTGCCTCCCTCTACTCTCCAACATATCTGGGGCTAGTGTGAGGTGCTCCATTTGAGAGATGAGGACACTAAGCTCACAGAAAGATCAGGCCTTGCTCACTGTCTCCTGATGGAGTACAGGGATTGAGGAGCAGGCTAGAACTCAAACCCGACTCCTGACTGCCAGACTAGGGTTTTTTCCATTGTCTGGGATGCCCCCAACCTTGCCAGGGACTCTGAGCAGAGCTTACAATAATGGTGACCTTCTCTAGGGAGTCAGGGGCACAGAGGAAGGGGACCTGGAAGTGTAATACTCAGATTAGCTAGAAGAGGGATCTTAGGACATAAAAGAATACCAGTCACAGAAAGATTAACTTCAACTTGTATTTATGTTCAACAACATCGTGCAAACAGCTGCCTAGGAACAGACACCCCAGTCTGGGCCCCCAGACATAACAGCCTTCAGCTATGAGGTCAATGGCTAAGCTCCAGGGCCAGGCTAACTCTGGGCTGGCGCCTTGGCAGATGTGTCTGGGTGGCCGTTATCCCAGGCTGCGGGTGGCACTGGCAGAGGTGACTGCGGGCAGAGGTGGAGCGGGCTTGACTTCAGAACATCCTGTTATTCTCTTCTGCTCCTGGAGGCAAACCAGCTCTTCCTGCAGCTCCTCACAGAGGGAAGGAGTGGGTACAGGGCAACATCCTGCTACAGAACTTGAAGCAAAACTGAAACACACACATGAACTTGAAGTGGCATTTCGAGGGCCGGAAGCACTTAGGGAAAGTTTGAAAGGCTGGGGTCTTGACTGCACCCCACTCTTGAGACCGACTTCCCTGGGGGTGTCACAGAGGATTAAAGGTCCAAGCCAGTGAGGTCTCTTCTCTCCACTTGGGAAACCAGAGGGAGTTCTTCCAAATCTCACTTCGAAAGCAGTGACCCAAACAGAGCTCTGTGGGTGGAGCTTCCCAAGTCTGTAAACAATTCCAGCTGAGGCTCAGGCTGCACGGAGCTCATGGCCCCTACTCTATCAGAGGTCAACCGGCTCTGCAAGACGAAGGTGGCACCAAGTGACACAGTCTGGTCTCACTGGGGTCTTTCTCGGTCACTTTTTGTGGACTCTAGATAAACAAAAATTATGAGAACTTGAAGAGTACATAGTACATAGGCTTCAAAATCTTATTTGGACTCCAAGACAGTTAATAGTTTAAGTAACAGCTAGAGTGGGTTAAGTATACAAGACTATGACAAGTGAACATAAGAGTCATATGTACATTCGTCATCACATCACCACCTAGGCCTATGAAGTAGGCATACTATCGCCTCCACAGGAGACAAGCAGGGCTCAGAGAGGTTTAAAACTACAAAAGAACAGGCGAGCTTAGATAGCCTAGTGGCAAGAAGCTGCACTGCAATCCCAGAGGTGCACGGTTCAAATCCACCGGATGCTCTACTGGAGAAGGAGGGACACTCTCCTCCTGTACCAGTCAGATCCGATTTGACGGTATGTACACATGTGTGTACGTGTACACACACACACACACACACACACACACACACACACCCCTATAAGAGGACAGAAGTTACACTAATGGGAAGTGGTGGAGCCAAGCCTGGAACAGAGTGAGTCTTGCCCCGAGCCCTTGACGAGACTTCAGTTGTCTGGCCAAATACTAATCTCACTGGAGCTTCATAATGAAATCTCTCCTTAACCGTAACCTTCCACTGTCTAGTGTAATCAATCAACCTCTAAAAAAGTCACTTCCCTGGAGTATGTTCAGCCTCTGGGACAGAAACATGTATTTTTGCAGAACCTCCTTCTACACTTTGATCTCCTGATCTACACGTGGGAGCTCAAATCTGCAGGAGTCTCCCACCTGTCACCTGAGACAGGGGTCTAAGATTTGCCAGTCTCTTCTAATTATGAGAACCAAGTCCCTTCGGTAAATGAACCTGTACAGGTCTACAGACAGAAAGGCCTAACATAACACACAGTCACACACTCATACATGCTGTTTATCTAGAGAAGTTGGAAGTTTTCTGCCACTTGTCATTCCCTCTGCAAACATGCCCTCCCCACCCTTACCTCTTCACTGAACGCTGCCCTTTAAGGTCTCAGTTTGAGTATTACCACCTCCCGGAAGCTTCCCCGAGCCCCTCTAGCTCAGATCCCTTTCCTCTGTTAGCTGCTGTCAGCTTTCTGAAGGGCATTCCCTCAAGTCATAATCTTGGGCTTTCTGTGACTTTTTAATTCATCTCTGTCTCACCTCCACTAGATAATCTGTTCTCTTTTGGTATATCTATGTTCTAGCACATGGCCTGCTGGGATTCAGACTATGATGAATAAATAAATGGATGGTTAGAATCACTTCACATGCTAGCCACCATCATTCCCTTAACAGGATTTTAGGAAGCTGAGCCTCCATGCCATCAAAATCAGAAGGTAGAAACATCAAGTCTCAAACTGGGAAACCCTGGCAGCTAAGAAATGATGTCTTCTGGAAGGCACAGTCCAGTACTCAGGGGAGCAGCTCACCTGGCTCCCCAGGTCTGGCTGCAGGGGTGTCCATCACTTGTGAGCTCTGATTCCGAAGCCCTCCACGAGGTGAACGCCAAGCATACTCTGGCTGGAACAAATCAAAGCTTAGCATTCAAGAATTACACTTAACAATCACAATAGCAGCTATGCAAAGATGGACATGAACAGACACCAAAATATTGAAAACCCAACCATAAACCACAACTGTCAATTCAATTCCACCTCATGGTGACCCTCCATCTGGTTCTTGAGGCTATAAATCTTTACAGAGGAAGAACGCTCATCTTTCTTCCCATGAGCAGCTGAGATGAGCCACTGACATTTTGGTTAGCAGCATAATACTTAACACACTGTGCCACCAGAGCGCCTTAAAACAGACATTGTTATTGTTGTATACCATCGAGTCGGAACCGACCCGTAGCTGACCCTTCAGCGGATTTTCACAGGCAGTAAATTGCATGAGGGGTGAGAGATTGCTCATCTTTCTCCCATGAAGCAGGTGGTAGATTCGAATCACGTGCCTTTAGGATTGCAGCACAGCTTCTTCCCACTGGATCACCAGAGCTCAACAAGTGTAATTCCCACCATCTGTCTGTTATTTCACAGTGACCACAGTTGCTATGATGCTGGAAGCTATGCCACTGGTATTTCAAGCAGAGTGACCTGTGGTGGACAGGTTTCAGCAAAACCTCTGAACCAAGACTAGGAAGAAAGGCCTGCTGATCTACTCCCTAAAAGTAGCAAATGCTACAGATCACCAAGGAGTCTTGTCTAGTGCACTGCTGGAGGAGGAGCACCTCAAGTGGAATGATACTCAAAATACAGAGTGGCCAGGTCAGTGGCCTCAGGCAAACCAGCAGGCAGGAAGCTGACACAGTACCAGGCAGGCAGCACATGGTGCTGTTGAATGTGGGGTCTCCATCCTCACAACAACCCAAGTTATCACCCCTGTTTTTATAGGGGAGGAAACTGAGGCTCAGAGGGCAAAGCCTGGATTAGAAGTCAGGTCTCTGCATAACCCCAGTCCGTCTCTTAAGAGACAGTACTAAGTGTTTAAACAAAACATGAGTACATAGTGGCTTTCTAGGATCCATGTGGGAAGGAGGTTAGATAGGTGGCTGCTGTACCTGTCCAGGTGAGAACTGGGGGCTGCCTGGGGTGGGGCTATTGCAGACAGGCTGGTGAAGAAGAGGCAGGCGGCAGCAACTCTTTTGAGAAAGATCAGAAGGGAACAGAGAAAGGAAATGAAGGGAAAGAAGAAGGCGGGGAGGGGAAAGGGAAAAGAATAAGAGAAAGAATTAACCAGGTATGGACCTGGTATCCAGTTATAGGTGGAGATTATAAGAAAAATTTAAACCCAAACTCTTATCCCTGGCCTGGGAGGGTGGAAGGCCCCTCCTTTCTGTTCTACACTATATTTGACCTTTTCTGTCCTTCTGCAGTACCGGTGATTGGTTCTGGGCCAGAGACCCTTGCCCTTGGGCTGGATGACCAGAACTGACCCCTGGGTGACTGTCCCACACCAGTGCTGGTCAGGAAGGCACCAGGAAGGCAGTTTCTGACCTCACATACCCTTCCCTCTGGAAAGTGCCAGGGGGTAACCTGTGTGTCCTGAAGTAGAGGGGGCAGACTCACCAGATGGAAGAAGTGTGAGTTGGGGAGTGGTGACGGGTGCTCCATGGCTATGGGGGGTGGAGGGTAGCGGATCTGGGACCAGTCTTCAAAGGCGTGGTGCGGTACCATGGCTGGCATGGGTGGATAGACGTACGGGTAGGCCCCACAGAGGTGCTCAGGGTGGGGTTCTACCTGATAGCGTTCTCCTGCAGACTGTAAAAAAAAGTCAGTGTCGAACTCTGGTTTGCAACAGACTACATAGGCCATCCCCAATAATGTCCATGTCATCTTCCTCTATTTAGAATCTTAATTCTGAAGGATGGTTATATGGGCACCGAAGGCTAGGAACACAGGTAGGGAACATGAGCATTAAAAGTGGGGTTCATGAGCACAAAAGGCCAGTACATGGGGCGGGGAGGCTGATGGCTGGGGATGGGAAAGCTGGCATGTGGTCACATGAGGAAAGAAGGGTGGAGCACGGGAAAGAAGTTTGCACACAAGAAGGGAAGGCTGTACATCAGCAGGGAAGGTTGGTGTATGGGCATGGAAGCTGATTCAGGAGGAGAGAAAGCTTGTACTCGGGAAGGGAAGACTAGGAGAACAGGCATAGAAGACAGTACATGAGCTTGACAAGTGGGGTGCACAGAAGGCTGGTATGCAGGGAGAGAAGGCTGGCACAGGCACAGAAGGTTTGCACATGGGCATTGGAAGCTACAAACAGGTTAAGAAACACTGGCACAAAGGCAAATAACATTGCCAATGATGACCTCTGGCATGTCCTGAATACGTACTCTTTGTTAAATACTGTTCTGAGGGCCACACCTGTACTAATAAGTCATCAGGTGCCACAGAGTGAGCAATATCTAGCAAACACTCTCTCCTACCAGACTGGAGCTCTCTGCAGAAGGGGAGATGAAATGCATGTTGCCTCCTCCCCAAGCCTCACCTTTGCTTTTCTCTTCTGTTGTTTGAGGGCTTCTTTGACCTTCTCCTCATCTTTGAATGCTTTTATCTGAAAGGAGGATGGAGAAGACATGTGGCACAGGTGGGTCCCTGCAGGGCCTGTCAGCTCCGGATGGCAGCTCGGTGAGCCCTACTCCTCGAACCGCCAGTCAGGAGGGTGCAGGGGGGCCTCAGTGCTGAGCATCTTTCAGTTACATTTTGAGAGAGACTAGGGTGGCTTAGGGGTTTTTTTTTTAGGGTTCTTCTAATATATCAACGCAGATTATGAACTGTCAGAACTAGAAAGTATCTTAAAGCAATGGAGTTAGACTGCATCACTGTACAAAAGGGTGAGAGACAGGGAGGGTTTAGCACACAGGATTCGAGCAGCAGAGCTGGAAGGAAAGCGTTTGCATCCCAGCCTCACCAGGGTCCTCGCATCCTTGCACCCTCTTCAAGGGGACAGGTCAAACTGCTTTTTTCTTGACCTGATCTTGCTCACCTGGGCATTTGACAGGTTGACCTGGGCCTGCAGTTTTTCCACCTGTTTCTTCAGCTCTTCCTTCTCCTCATTCATTCGTTCTCTATCACTACGCTCCCTCTGGAAATCCTCCTCAAAAATCTTCACCTGGAGAAAGAGGAAAGGAGTAGAGAAGGTGGGAGTGAAGGCTCAAGACCCGATCAGGCCCAGAACCTGTGCCTCATGCCGGGAGTCCCAGACACTCGGCCGTTTCACCAGATCTTGGATGAGCATGGGGCCTGCTACAGATGTACCTCTAGCCCTTGGCTCCAAATTCAGTAAAAGCAGCTGTGCATGCCTCCATTTTATAATCCGGCCTTCGAGGTAAAGTTTTATTTGAATAAATAGTATGACTAAAAAATAAAGACTAAGGTTGAAATCCATCCACCAGCCAACTCCTTCATCTTACCAAGACCCATGAAGAGAGACATCAGAGCACTGGAGTGCAGGTAGAAGATCAGAACTGGCATCTCCTGGCTCCAGGAGCTGACTGCAGGGTGAGCTCTGTGTGGGCTGGCCCTATGCACCATGATGCCCGGCCTACCATAATCATCCTCACTGCAGATCAGGGCAACCCTGACTGGGAGCAAGACGGTGCAGGATCGAAAGCCTGGCATTTCACAGGGTGTGCCACTCACCACAGACCAGGCCACCCCAAGCTCCCTGGCACTGCACAGGGCTTCCACTAGGCAATGAAAATGTTTTGGAACTAGACAGAAGTGGTAGCTGCACCACTTATGCTACAAAGAGACCAAATGCCACCAGCCTGTTCCCTTTTAAATGGTTACATTTGTTACTCCGTGAATTTCACTTCAGTTTTAAAAAACCAAACAAACTAGTTATAACAGCACAGGTGCGATATCAAGAGGGCCAAATCATGAAAGTGGTACAAGAGTGACAGAAGTCATGGAGGCACTTCTGGAAAGAAAAAATCCTTCCTGGGCCTTGGGAATAGTCAGCACCCTGGGTCCTCCTACCAGAGCTCCTCCCCAGCCCACCTGCTGTTTCAGCAATTCATTCTGAGTGACCAGCTCCTGCTTCCTTAAGGCTCCTGCTCCTTCTGGGCTCCCAAATGCTGCTGCTGGTGACGATGATGAGGAGTTCTGGATGCTCAGTGCTTCCTCCAGGGCCTAAAACCAGGGAAGGAGGAGATGGACCATCAGCAGAGGCTCCGGGAAGCCAGGCCCCATTGGAGTAGTCACCATCCTAACACTTGTCATAATAATAATAATCACTCCCCTCGCTATTGTTTAACAAATGTTGACCAACACCATATGTACACAAGGTGTATCCTCATTGTATAGATGTGAAAACCAGAGCTCAGAAACAAGCGATGATTTGTCCAAGGTTACACAACTATTAAGTGGCAATGCAGCAATTAAAATGCAGAGCAGACTCCTAACGAGCAGGCTAACCTCAAACTCTAATGAAGGTGGGAGAATCGCTCCTTCCTTAAGCAGTTGTGGCAAGCTAGAAGGAATACGAAGTCCTCTGGGGGAATCCTCTCCTAAGATTCCTCAGGTTTCTTCAGCTTCAGCAATCCAGTCCACATAAGCCAATACTTTTATTCTCAATTCTGTTTAGTTTAGTTAGATTATAACTCCCACCTCCCCTCACAGAATAACTGTACTGCCAGAGTTTTTTCTCAGAGAGAGCCTGTAGGGAGGACTAGAACCACTCCATCTGTATCCTAATGCTGTAAATCTTTATGGAAGCAGACCAAGAACTCTTTCTCCTGTAGAGTGACTGGCAGGCTTGAATTTCTGACCTTCCAGTTGTGAGTACTAACCATTGCACTGTGCCCCTAGTGCTCCAGTTGGATTACACTTGGCCTAGTCCGCAGGCAGTTCCCCTAAAACAAAGGTTGTGCCTCATTGGCTGTTGCAATCCTCTGGTATCTCCAAGGGAGAAGGGCAATCTGCTCCCCTGAGATTTACAGCCTTGGACACTCAATGGAGGGTCAGCGCTGAGCAGCTTCTGACTCAAAAGCAGGGTGGTGGTTGTTGTTGTTAAGTGTCGTCAGTAGTAGATGACTCATAGCGACCTTATGAATGAAAGACCTGAGCACTGTTCATAGAGTTTCCAGAGGCAAGTCATTTCGGAAGTGGACGCCACTCCTGCTTCCAAGCTTATTTTAATTGGGAAGCTCCACCAAACACTGTCCACTATTACTGCATTTGACACATAAGTGTCCCAGTGTTCAGCATACAGCAACCACGAGTTAACTCTGTACAGCTATGCACAGACCAGGGCTATACCACTTAGAAGAATGTTTGACAGGAAAACAATTTTAAATGGGTTTTTTAATAGGAGGCCTTGGGAAGCTCTGGTGGCCTAGTGGCAAGGAGCTACAACTACAATCCCAAAGGCACACGGTTCAAATCCACCAGATGCTCTGCCGGGGAAGGAGGGACAATCTCCTCCTGTACCAGTCAGATCTGATTTGACGGTACACTCACACATACACAAAAAAAAAAAAAATAGGAGGCCTTATCACATCTCCTCACTTCCCTTAGCAAATCAACATTTCACTCTATTGCTCACCAGTCCCAGCCAACAGTTTCTGTGGAACCAGCTGCTGTAGATGACTTTCAAACTGGTCTCCATGTTCTTCAGAGTCTGTATTCTGGCTCCTTAGAGAATTCCATGTGACTTGGCATTAATCTTTTCTATCTCTGTATCTTTGCTTGCTTGTTTAGTCTCTTTTCTATCCCAAAAGAGAACAACTCCTGATATACCCTATATTAATCCTATCTCATAAAAAAGATAACCCATTCTCAGGTGGAACAGTCACAGATGTTAGGATTTACAACACACATTCTTGCAGGACATAATTCAACCCTTTGACAACCCCATTCCCCATAAAAGTTCATGTTCTTGACATATACTAAACACATTCATCCCACCACCGGGAGCTTTAGTGGCTTAGTGATAAAGAAGTTGCACCGCCAACCCAAAGGCACAAGGTTCAAATCCACCAGGTACTCAATAGGAAAAAGATGGGCAACTGAACCTTACCGCCTATGAAAACTGATAAGAGGCTGAACGATGAGTTGGCACTGACTTGATGGTACATAACACAAACAAAATCCCATCACAGCATTCTAAAGTCTTAAAATTGACAGCAAGTCCAAAATCTTATCTTCTAAACAATCTAAAACAAATACTGGTGACACTTTAGTTGCACTCGATCTTGGGGCAAAATTCCTCTTCATCTGTGACTGTGGAGCCTCCACACACTGTTTTCAAAGCATAATGACAGAGCACCACAAGGTAGACATTTCCATTACAATGAAGAAAAGAAGGATACTGGGCACTGAGCAAGTCTCAAATTTGGCAAAGTGATTTATATCAGCTATTAAAGTTTAAAAGTAATGCTCTATCCTTTGGCTCCCTCGGCTGTGGGCTGGGTCTGTCCTGCCCCTGGGGCATGGCACTTCCAATCCATCAGCTTTAAGCAATGTATCTAGCCCCACTTCCCTGGCACACTTAACAGCGGCCCCACACTCTGGAACGAAGTTGGCAAAGATCTGTTTCTTTGAAACCTAAGAGATGGTGGTTCCCACCTTATGAAACTGACATGGTTCTGCTTCTCATGTTCCTTCCAGCAATTCTCCTGATTTCTGAGTTGCTCCAGGGATGGTTCTTTTCTTTTCTCAGAGTAAAACAGTTGTAGCTTCTTTGGCCTCTTTTGTGCCTGTAGAATTCCAAGAGGAAGACAGTTTCCTTTCCTTTCACCCTGTATCTGACCCCTTCAGTATAAGCTGATGCATCTGCTGTGGTGGCAATTGGTTAGAGCCATCATTCACAGGCTTAATCTTTTAAATAAATATCTGTGTAGCCACATCCTTGGTAAAATCCTTGGTGAAAGAAAATACTAGAATGCATGTCCTAAGTTTGCCGAAAAAAATTTTCCCAATCTTTAGGTTCTGTTTCATTTTACACAGCACTTTTAAGACATCCTTTTCCTCCTGAAGTTTACTATAACCAGCAAGGAGAAGACACATGGCTCCTTTAAGTTCATGCTTAGAAATCTCACAAACCAGATGTCCGAGTCAATTACATAGTAGTTCTATCTTCCACCAAACATCCGAATATAATTCAGCCAATTCTTTGCCATGGCATAAAGCACCCCCTTTCTCCACTGTCCAATCACATAGTCATCATTTTGTTTTAAAGCCTCACCAGAAGCACATTTAATGTCCACATTTCTAGGAACATTCTGTTGTTCGTGCCATAATGCATTCTCCAATACAACAGAAACATTCTCTGTAGCTCTTCTTGCTACAAATGGCTTTGACATTGGTAATTCTAACCAGAGTACTTCGAAGACAATCTAGGCTTTTCCAATTAAGCATTTTAAAACTCTTCCAGCCTTTATCCATTACCCAATTCCAAACATCATTTCTATACTGTCAGTATTTGTTAGGGCAACAGCCTTACTCCCACTGCTAAATTCTAAGTCATTCAGTGCTGCTGCTGCTGCAGCTGCTGCAGAAGTACAACTGGAAGGCTTCAAAAACAAGTCTTTTCTCAGCCAAGGAGGCTTAAGATCTGAATGTACGCTGCCGCTCTTAAAGGCTTTCCCTAGGAGAGCTCTGGTGGCCTACTGGCAAGAAACTGCACTGCAATCCCAGAGATAAGCGGTTCGAATCCACCAGATGCTCTGCCGGAGAAGGAGGGGCCATCTCCTCCTTTATCAGTCAGATCCAATTTGACAGCACACACACACACACACACACACACACACACAATTTTTTTTTTTTTAAAAAAAGGCTTTCCCTGCTGGCTCTGGAGGATGGCCCTGGTTTCTTCTACACTGCTCCAGGATGATCAAGTGCTTTGGCATCTCTTCTTGCTTCTTCTATCTCTACTTGCTTATTGGGCCTAGCCTTATAAGAGACTAACTTAAAACCTATCCTAAATTATTAATCTGGCCTCATCAGTCTAACAAAGAAAATCCATTCCCAAATGGAATACAACCAGAGGCACAGAGGTGCACATTTAGGGAGGGTGTGTTCCAATCCCTAACCACTACCTGGACATTCACTCTGTTCAGCAGGGGCTTGGCCTGCCATTTCTCAGCAATGCACGTATGCATCATGTGGGGTAACGCACAGAGTCCCACAGATGGTGGCTCGTGGGCTTTCTCCCATCCCAAACTACAAAGAGACTCAGAAGACCTTCTCTAACTGGGACCCCGTGGTCCTCTTTGATCTTCCTAGAAATACGAGGAAAGTGCTGAACCCACAGTAAAGACGAGATGCTCGAAGGGAAATTATGTCTCCACTTCATTCTTCTACTTTGCTCATTTATTTTGATGAGAAGACTAAGTTCCAGATTAGAAAAAAGACTTGTCCATGATAATATGCAAAGCAGACCATAGGGTATCTTTAGAATATGATAGGAATGCCAGGAGCCAGGGGTCCTTTCACGGTCTCTTCTCTCATCCATACCATGGGTAACATCCTTCCCAGATCAACAGCTCCAACCTCGCCCACACATAGCAACTCATTTCTTCCTCTCAGAGAACTGGCCTAGAACAGTGCGAAGTCCTCAGCAGAATCAATGCTTATATATCAGTAACACTACCGAGTCATTCATCATCAGGGCTAAGACCCACCGAATACCAAACTCTCTTCCAGAGCCCACTGTGACTAGAAAAAGAAAAACAGGATAGATGGAAAGGCCACAAACATTAACTCCTCCACACCTTTAGGGAGCATTTCCTTTCAACACACACATTCTGTTTAGCTTCTGTGCCAGAACTAGGCAGTGCTGGAGGGATTCCACCTAGGGTCCAGATGGTAAAGCTAAGTCCCAGAAAAGTGAAAGGGGTCAAGTTGGACTGGAACCAGCTTTGGCCTGACCCACAGGCTCAGATCAGAGGATTTCTTCTTTATCCAGCCTTTACTCTAAGGTGCCTCATCTCCTCGGATGCTACAAGAGTGGGAAGCCTTATGTCTACGCATATCCACTGCCTTCAGTGTTTGCTGGACATGGGGGCAGGAGCCATGCCAGATACAGTGGCTGGTGACAGAGCAACTGCCCAACTGCTACCATGACATGATAAAGCAATTAAAGAAGGACATAACAAGATGAAAGAGTCACGAAGGCGCAGTGCTCAAAGCACTCCCCTACTAACTGAAAGGTTTACATTTCATATTCACCAGCTACTCCACAGGAGAAAGATCTGACAGTCAGCTTCCACAGAGATATCCAGTCTTGAAAACCATACAGGGCAGTTCTACTCTGTCCTGTGCAGATGCTAAGAGTCAGAATTGACTCAATGGCAGTGGTATGTTTTTGGAGGGGTTTTAGGGGTTTTTTTAATGATGGAATAATGTAAGAAGGGGTGACAGAAGTTTCTGTGCTTTAACAGCATATGAAAAGAATCCTGAATGAGGGTCAGAAACAGCTTCCCTGAGGACATGATGTGAAAGCCAAGCCTGAACGATATGCAAGTGTGGTGTAAGCGGGGTAGAGGGGACAGAGTGGCACTGTTTGAGGACAGATCTTGTGCATGGGTCTGGAGGTCAGAGCTCCTTGAAGAAGGGGCTGAAACATTGAACGTGTGAGCAGAGGACAGCAGAAGGGTCTGGAGCTTTGAGGATGTACTGAGACCCTCTGCCATATTTTATCAGTAGAGATGTCACTCTATTGAGCCACAGGGTTGAGGGGGAGCAGTAACAGAGAGGGGAAGAGGTCAGAGTGTTGAGGGGCTCAGGGAAGCTCTGTTCATCAATGAGGACTAGGCCAAGCCACCCACCTTGTTGAGTCTCTGGATCTCCTTTTCCTGGTACTCCCGTTGGCGAGTGAGTGGGCTCAGCTGGTCCTGCAGGTACTTGATCTTCTGGCGCAGTTCCTTGGCCTCCGCTGTCAGGTTCTCCTTGTCAGTCTGTGGGAAAGACAGGAGTGAGTAATGGGTCTTCTCCAGGAAGCCTGTGCACTGCCTGTGCCGCCCCTAGATCCTCTTCCCTCCCACTCCTCATCCAGCAGCCATTCCACTGGCCGTGTGCCATGCTAGGCAGAGGTTTCGGCTGCATAAAAGTCTCTGAATTCTAACACCAGCTCTGCCATCAACTCTCTGCAACATTTCAGTCCTCTCGTCTCAGCCATACCAAGTCTCTGCTGTGGATATGAGGTTCTCAGGTGGACTTCAACGGGTCTGTGAGCCCCAAACCTGAGGGCAAAATTGTGTGTGTGTGTGTGTGTGGTTTCCTAGGGGGAAAAGACTAAAAACTCTCCTTATTAGACTCTCACAAAGGACCTGTCACCCACAGAAACAAACATAATGTAATTCACGAAGTGCTCTTTCTCAGAGAAACCAGTGAGGCCCTGTGGGGAAAAACAAAGACTACCAGAGCTCAGAAAAAATAACTCTTCAAGGTAGAAGTGCTACTCCCAAACCCATTCTGAACAAAGCAGGGCTGCTCCTTCACCCCAGAGGCCTTTGGAGAGTATCAACGCCCTCCTCACTATGGGAAATGGAAAGCCCGAGGGAGAAGGAATTGCTTTCACCCAAGGCCATACAGTGAGCCGAGATGGAATCCAATTCTCCTATTCTAGTGAGCTCTTCAACCAAAGAAGTGTTTAAAATAGGGGATGGCAGCACGAGGTGGCTGAAAAGACCACTTGAGTAGGGTATACCAAGGCCAGCTAACTACTTCTATGTGTATATATGTGAGGGACAGTCCTAGTAACACAGTAACAGTGGTTTTATTTGGGTAAAGGCCCAGAATTGAGAGCTCAAAGTAGTTAAGGAAAACTTTTGTTTTAGCTGTACTGTTTAAACACTTTACAACTATATATCCATATAATGATGAAGATTTGGCAGCCTAGTTGTGAGGACTTGCACTGCCAACCCAAAGGCACATGGTTCGAATCCACCAGCTGTTCCATGGGAGAATGATGGGCAAGTTCCTCCTGTGTGACTAACAGCCTCTGAAAACCTGCCAATGGGTCTGCTATGAGTTAGTTCCAACTCGACAGCATATAATAATACCGTTTATATAATGAGAGGATTGGTGGTTCTTGCCTTCTGTGCAGGAGACTGACTCAGGTTTGATTCCTTGTCAATGCATGTCCTGCACAAGCACTGTTGGCCAGTGGAGGTTTCTATTAGTACAATGATGAGCAGGTTTCAGCAGAGCTTGAAAACTAAGACTAGGAATAAAGGACTGGCAATGTACTTCTGAAAACCAGTCAGAGGAAACCATCTAAAGTCACAATGGTCTGATCCCATTGACCACAGGGTCACCATGAGAAGGGGCCAACTCCACAGCAGCTAACAACATTGATACAATATGGACTGGGAAATAGACACAGGATTTAGTTCTCATCCCAGGGCTGCCATTTCCCTCATGTGCCCTTTTCACAAAATTCTACAAGCAGGATAGTAATATTACCAGCAAGCAACTGCCTGGTAAGGATCTGTGGGAGCTTCCAGACACCCTGCCTAAGAGGCAGCAAAGATTAAGCATGGACCCTGTGTCCCACCTTCCTAAGCTGACAGTGCTAGCAGAGCTGTGGGATCCCAGGGATTTGTCTCCTCCACTGATATGCACAAGGGGGAAAGGTCCAAGAGGCAGTTGTGAGTCACAAGATGGGACTATGCACTGAGAAAAGACAGGCAGGCTGACAAGGCTCAGATAAGGTCCTCATATCACAGGCCAATGGAGAGAACTCTGAAATTAAATCTGTGGGTGGCTTGTCCTGTCTTAAGTTACAAAAAAGGAGTCCATGCCCTGTCCTGTGAAAGTGAAGGCATCACAAGAGAAAGAAAATCTTCGAAGAACCTGAAGTCAAATGGCCACTGTTCATTCAGCTTCTCCCAGAATCCTGAAGGGCTGTGGCTTTCGTCAGCCACCCACATGGCACGTCAAACACCATTTCTTCAGGAGATCTGCTTTTGGCTCCCCAAACTGAGTCTTATTCTCCTTCATGCTTTCTAATCCCTGTAATTTTTCCATTGGAGCACTTACTGTACTTTAACTTATTTGCTTGCATAATATGCTTAACGTCTCTTTTCCCTGCAGTGGTACAAATGAACTGTTCACCACTGAATCTCTAAGGAACAAATACCAGGTGAGTGCAAGCACAGAGCTTTGTCTAAGTGCTGGTCCCTCTCAAAAACAGCCCCAACCACCCTGAGGAGCTGGCAGTGCCCACCACTGCCAACTACAGCAGAATGCCAATGACAGCCTGCCTGGTCCTCCCTGATATTTTGTGCTTCCCTGTAAGCTTTCTCTGTCTGTAAGATTTTAAGTGAGCAAAAGGTTCTTCTGCTTCCAAACAGGAAAACTTGAAAAGTAACACGTAATCCAACTTCCTAAATTTCCACATGAGAGACTGAGGCACAGATAGGAACCCTTCAGCACTAGAGCTGGTACAAGAACACTCGGGCCTCCCTCCTCCCAGGACCTGGCCTGTTCAGTTCACTCAACTTCCAGCAAATGGTCTGCCGGAGAAGACCATTTGGGGAATGACAGTCAGACTTGCCTCTTCCATTTCAATCTTGGACTTGGCAAGGAGGAGCTTGCGGTCAAAGTCTCGCTGTTTCTGCTCACGCTCAGCCTCCAGGTCAGTCACCTGCTTCTGCACATCACCCAGCTTCTGGCGCAGCTCAGTGATCTGGGGGCAGAGGCGGAGGAGGGGACTGTGAGGGCAGGGTACAGAGTGCCCTGGAACACAGGCAGGTGTCAGTGAGTCCACTAGTATTGCCGTCAGTCCTACTTCTGTGGGCCAGACTAGGGCTAGTGCTGCTGAGGAGGAAGCAGCAAGATGGAGGCTGAAGGCCCCAAGAGTGGAGCCAGGAATCTTTTTAGCCTTGGGTCCTGATAGCCCCTGTTACCTTCTGCTCGTACTGTTGCTTCATGGACCGGAAGTGCTGGTCCCATTGCTTGTTTACTTCAAGGAGCTATGGGGAGAGACTGGAATGAGCAGGAGATAAGCAGAGAAGGAACAGAGTATCAGCTTCCCCCTTCCCCAACCCAATACACATACACTCACACACATCCAGCCACCCTACGTACCCAAGGTCCAATGTACACTATCTCGAGACCTCAGTTTTCAAACTCATACTCCTTCAAAGCAATTCACGTTGATCAAACACCATAATCTACCCTTGTTAGGGTACAAGACTAACACTAAGACATGTAACTAGCATAAAATTATGGTGTACAACTATGGGACACAAATTTCTTTTAAAGGAAATCTGAGATCATGACTTAAAATGTCAAGTTTTCATTTTCTTTTATTCTTTAATTCTACTCAGAAAATTTAAACTGACAGAAACATTTGGAAAATGTGCAAAAAGGCATGTGTCCATCCACCAGTGTTCGCTGCAGCACTATTCAAAAGCACCTAAAGGTAGAAGCAATTTAAACGTCCATCACAGATGAATGGCTAAACAAAATGGGAAAGCATATAAGGGGATGGATGCTGTTCAGTCTGTAGGAGAAATAAAGTATGCAAGGAGCTTGAAAACACTACAATGAGCAATACACCAATAGAAAAGGGCAAATATTCCACAATTGCTTTTATATAAAAAGACAAAAAAGCAAACGTATATCGATCAAACTTTATTCGGTGCTTACTAGAGGTAGCAGGAAGGGCAGGAGGAAAGCTGATGAGATGGAAAAATTATGATGGCAAAAGTGTGTGAAAGATACATTTATAACAAGAAAAGAGTAGATGCTAAGGTTACTCATGTATAATCAAACATCTCCTACGGTTTGATTCTTTGGACATTTAGGATCATGGTTTCATGGAACATCATGGCCTAATAATATATAGTCAGTGCTTTCTACTTCCTCATTGATGGTGTAGTGTCTAGGGTCTTACAGCTTGTAGGTGGCTATCTAAGGCACAACTAATGTCTAGTCACCTGGAGCAACAGAGGAAGAAGGAGAGGCAGGGACAGGGGAAGGCCATGTGTCTGACTGCCTCTAATACCAACTGTTGCTTATGCCATGAACTGGACCTAAAGTACTGGGTAGTGTCCAGCTACCATCAGTGAATGTTTTCATCAAAGATTCCACAGACAAAAATCCTGATCAAAGGGGGCAAAAAGTCGAATAGAATTTCAATTTTTGATGGACTCCAGATTTTCTGGAGCCAAGAAACTTGAATAACCCCTGGAAACTACTGTCCTGAAATAATCTTCAAGCCTTAAAAGAAAAATACACCCTATAGTAATCTTAAAATGGAAAAACTGTTCTGCTTAACCAATGAAAATAGGTCTGCTTTGTAAGGCTCTTTTAAGATCATGTATATGGGATCATATTGACAAAAGTGATAGGGATGTTAGGAAACAGAGACTTTGTATTAGTAAGAACAACTCAGAAAAACAAAGTGAGAATAGTTGAAGAATGCTTTCAAGTGACTACATAGTACATATAGAAACTTCTGGATTGCTATGTATTTTATTAATACTAAAATCAACAAATAAAATTTAAGGGGATAAAAAAGATGTATACACACAACACTAACAATCTTAGCAGCCAAATTAAAGTGTAAATTATAATATAAACATTGTGAATTACTAAAAAGAACAAGGCATCTAATATTATTTCCTCAGTTCTAAGATGATACACGTTTTTGTCATATACCAGCTATTGTAACAGCTCCCACATCATTCAACATAGGCAGTTCCAAGGTGATTAGATTCATTTCAAGTGCTTCTTTAAGTCAGATTTGCAGGTAGGTTGGAACAGGTTTCTTATACAGTCTTATTTTAGTGCAATAAAAGGCTCAGTCTTTCCAAAGGTTTAAAAGCTGCATTTGCAGCAAGTTTAGGTGATTATAATAAATAATTTATTGTAAGAGTTGGTTTAATTGTTTCAAAGTGAGGAAAAATTTACATACTATTAAAGGGCAAGTAGGAGCTGTCCAAAAGTCAGAAGTTATAATATAAGAGCTTTCTATAAATAAGGAATTGAACAACAAAAAAAAATAGTCCCAATTTTCAGTAGTATTATGGTATGAAAAAATGTTCAGAACTGAGGAAGTATAATATGCTAAGAAAAAGAAAGCAATCTGTACAGCAATACCCGCATGATGTACTCTTACTTTTCTGCTTATTATACATTAATTAAATACTTAAGAGGGGAAAAGTCCCAAGGAAAAAGCTGTGATTTGCTCTAGAAGGTAAGAGTTTCTTATCTTAGAATGAACATTATATTACTTATATAACAAGAAAGTAAACCAATGCCAGGGAGGACTCTAACATTCATATGTATGTAAATTAATATGTTAATATGGATATAAATAAAAGGACAGAGGCCAGGCTTTCAAATGGGCTGTAGGCCCAGGATGAGCAGAGGCTCAGAGTCTGGGGGAGGCTCCATGCCCTATCAAGAAGGTCAGGGAGCACAGGTCCACAGACACACAGAGGTCCTTATCACTCCAGCATAACAAACGCCCACCAAATGAAAAGACTGGATGGCACTGGGGTGGGAAATGGAAAGAACATGCATAAGATACAAAGAAAGAGCCTACACTTGTGGACACTCTCAGCTAGAGGGTGGGGATAGGGTGCGGCTGGCCCTCCCTGACCCAGGAGGCAGCAGGTGAGCCCTCAGCTCTCCAACCCCCAATCTGAGGCTGAGACTTGCGTAAGTTAAAACAACCTCTCTACACTATCCAGTTTACCTTGGAAGCCTTCCTAGACTCTTCCAACAATCTCAGACCTTGCCCAAAACACCAGTTCCACGGAGTGACAGGTAGGCTGCAAGGCAGCAAATCTCCATGGGCAGATGGTTGAGCAGTCACCATGAGAACTCACCACAGTGACTTGGGGGAACCAGAGCCAGGAGATTAAGTTCCTGTTGGTCCTGGAGAAGGGAAGAGCCATCCTGAAATGCTCTCCTCCAGTGGCCTACCTCAGTGCGCTGCTGCTCCAGCATCTTCACCTTCTTCTCAGCTGTGCCCAGGGCGCTCGCCTCAGGCACCTTTCCTGCTGTCACACTGGCCTGGGAGAAACATAAAGGGGCTGTCACTGAAGCCTTGAAATAAAGATCCTCTCCTCTAAAACCCCAGCCCTCCATCTCACACCCTCCTATAGTCCTACCAAGACACAGCTCTACATCCCAGCCTAAGTCTGCCTTCCATGAACCCAACAAGAGAGTATCCCCTCTCCCTGACCCAAAATCACTGCTGTGCCCTCTCCTTCCTGTTCCCTTCCCACAACCACTTCTTGCTCTGCTTTGGGTCCATCTCCAAGTGCCAACTACCCCATTCCCACATCCCTCGAAATCTTCCGGCCTTTAGAAGGTCAGAGCTGTGTATTTCTTTAAAGTTTTCTAAAATGTTTCTTTTTAAAACACTCTTAGAAAGAAACCAAAACACAGACATGCCTGTATGTGTGAATAATACATATACACATATTTCCGAGTATCATCCACTGAGAGCTTGGAGTGGTGATACCAAAGTCACAATGTTCCCACCAGTGCCCAGATAGTGGTTTCTAAAACCATTCTAAAAAGTGAGCATGATTCCTTGGAGAAATGGGTCCTTTCAGGGCTGAGCCAGGGGAACAAGAAAGAAAAGACTGACCATCTTATAGAGCAGAGAGCAAAGAATTAAAAAAGAAAAGAGGTTGAGAACCACCAAAAGGCCACAGGAGTCAATATGGAAGAGCTTCTAATGGTCCAATGTGGAATAATCTGAACAATTAATTATAATTCAAAGAATAAAATATCCTTAAATTCACACTGATACAATAAATAGCTAAGGGCATAAATGAGGGGAAAGGGACTACTCTTCCTGACAGAATTCTCATGCACACACTCAGAAAGAATGAAGGGAACAGAAAATTACTGTTAGAAACCCCACTAACACCTGGTACAGGTGAGACTGGCCTATGGTGATACTAGTCTTTAGTGAGCAAATAACATGAGAAAATGAAGGTATTGACATGGCCTCAATGTTTTTCCAAAGTACGCACTTCAAATTTATTAGCTCTTTCCTGGGAGAAAGAGGAGTAAATTCTTCCCATGCATATTACTGTCTATGAAGATAAGCTGAAGGGTCAGCTACTGGTCAGTTCTGACACAATGCTAACAGTAACAGTGACATTTTTACATCAAAATAATTATTTATTAACCACAAAGGGAAAAACAGTAACTTTATTGTGAGGAAACCTGACGGGCATTACCATATCCTAAGGACAAGTTTAGCCATCACCAGTAAGATGATCTGCTGGCACCATCTGCCCTTCTATGATGTACTGACAAGGGTGCACTGCCACTTTTGTGATATCCCTGCCCAGGACACACACCTTCAGTGAAGTCATTAGGGAACACTGGGGAGAATATCCATGTGGAGGGATATTCTACAGAATACTCTCCAGTACAACTCAAAAGTATCAAAAGTCATGAAAGACCAGGGGATTCTACCACAAGAGGGAGAGCAGACTCAAAGGTCATGGCAATTAAATACAATGTGGAATATTGGGTTAGGTCTAGGAATTGAGGTGGACAAGTGAGAAACTGCTGAAAGCTGAATAAAGTCTGTAGTTTAGTTAGCAGTACTGTACTAATGGTCATCTCCTACTTATGAACGAGCCTGTACGATTCTGTGAGCGTGAGGACAAGCTGGGTATAAGGTGTACCGGACTCTTCTATAAGTCTAAAACTCAAAAAATCCAAATGCACTGCTGTCAAGTCAACTCCAACTCACAGTGACCCCTCTACCAGGCTTTTGAGGCCATAAACTGATGTGGGGAAGACTGCCTATCATCCTTGTGCCAACCATCAGCACAACATGTAACACTGCACTATGTGCTTGGTGTTAATAACAGCTAAGATACCAGAGCTCCTTAAGTAAAAAAAAAAAAAAATCCTTAAAGATTTATAAAAAAGGAAAGTGCAGAGCAAACAGCAGAACAAGGGTAGGAGTCTAGAAATTGAGTCCTTACTGTTCTATCTCCAAGCCCCTACGTGGCATAGGCTAAGATTAAGACTTCTCTGGGCCTCAGTACAATGAGCCAAAAACAGAAGATGGTCTCCAAAGCCCCTAGGTGGACCTCTGAAATCCTGTGCTCCTCTAAGCATTGTCTTGGAGTGCAATTTGCTCTGGGGCACTGCTAATGTTCTCCACCCTCAGTGCCTGCCCAGGCCCCATCCACACTGCCTGCAGCATGGGGACATGAGCAGAATTTGTGAAGCTCCAGTGCCACCTAGAGGCTAAGATCTAAGATCTAGAAATGCCCCATAGTACCTCACGCCTGGGCTGGGCTGACTTCCGGGTGGATGAGCTCCTCTGAGAGATTGGCCTGGCCCAAGGAGGGAAGCTGTGTTCAACAACGGATGTCAGTGAGGTACAGAGGATAAAGGGGGCTCACGGATGGTTCACCCTTAACCTCCATAAACAAAAAGTGTCAATGCAGAGGACAGGTAGAGCAAAGACCTGGACTCAACTGACCTGGCTACCAGCAGGTCTGCCCCACGAGCTAGGGGCTGCAAGCCCACTTTACTGTGTTACATCATCACAAAGCCTTTCAAACTCTAACTCACCACTGCTCAGTGGGTTCCATATCACAGCAACCCTCCAGCAGATTTCTATCTTGATGGGAGCAGACCACCTATCTTCTTTGCTGATGAGTCAAATCACTGGACATCTACAACTTTTGGGTTATTAGGGCCACTACAGACACTCTGGGGAAGGTAAGAGTATCTGGCCTTTGGTGGGCATCAGGGATGGCAAGTTGATATAAAGAACTTTAGGAGAGCTCAGAGAATGCGACACTTGAGTGACTCTGATGATGAGGGGGATCTGCAGAGTCCACAGCATCTCCACAAAACCAGATCAGCAGGCTGCAGTGCGAGGGGGCAAGGGTTAGCCCAGTCTGCTCAGGTACCAAAGTATTCCTGGCCACAGCCCAGCGATGCCTAAGAGCAGGGACTCCATGAACCTCAATCACAAGACTGTCCAAATCTATTTCCACAACAGTGAAATGGAAAAATAATCACGGCCCTGCCTGACACAGTGCTGGGACTCAAATAAGATAAAGATTCGCTCGCCCTCAGCAAACTCCACGCTGCCACCCAGCACAAGGAACCAAATTATTAAGATCATTACTACCATTACAAAGGTGCAGGATTTATTGAAGGCAAAACTTCAACTTAGTTCATTCCAGTGAGACCCCCTCCAGAGAATGTGAATCTCCACCCTAGACAGTCAGTCTGAGTCAGAATGTACAATCCAAAAGAACCCCAGGGGATTCTTACAGATCCCCGAGTGATTGTTGTTAGAGTGTTGATTCCAATTCCCCACATCTGAGGTGGAACTTCAAAATCTTAGCAAGGGGTTAAAATGAAGAGGTTCAAAATGCAAGTAAAAGACCTCAACCCTGCTGTGCAGTCACTGTACCACATTATAAGGGGAGAAGTAGGGGGAGAAATGGGGAAGGGATGTGGAGTAAGGTCCTGCTTGGAGAATGGCTGCATTTCAGAGATTCAGGGGAGCAGGGAGGGGGCTAAAGGGTAAATGTAACTCAAAGGAGTTTAGCAGACCCCTTAAGGCACCCACCGTCACCCTAATTCTGCCAGAAAAACAGAGACAATGAACTGAATCTGGGGAGCTATTTTTTATCAGAGAGACACTGACCAATCAATGTTCAGGGAATGTGCCCAGACTGAGAGCTGTGCAGCCTGGAGGCAGCTTATGGGACTCAGAGTTACAGTAACTCCCAACGGCTTTGGAGCCTGGGTGTCAGAGAGTGGGATGCTCTGCAGGTCTGAAGGCAAAGTAAGGTCAGAGATGTAGAAGCTCCAGGGTGGTGGACATCAGGCCAAGCCAAGGAAAGGTCTCCTAACAACTAGAACTCAGGCACAATGAGCAAAAAAGAGCTGGGTGCCAGCATAAAAAATTTTATAAAGGAAAATTCTGAGTCCATACCTGCTGGTGGCTGTCCACCACCTTCTTCCCAGTGCCTTCCATCTTTGGGGTGTCTGGTTGTCCAGGGGAACTCTCTTTGTGGCTGCTGCACATCAACAACTTCTTAAGCTCCGTATTTTCCTCCCTGGGTTGGAGACAAACAGAGATGGGACCAGGGTGGTCCTGAGGCAAGGAGGCTCTGGGGCCTCAGACCCACTTCTATAAGCTGCAGCTAAATCCCTGGGATTAAGGCACATCCTGAAACCTGCCTCAAGCAGAACTAATGAAAGCATCTTCAGGCTGCCTTACTGACAACTGTGGGCCTCCCTAGAGGGTTTCCCCAACTACATGCCTCTATATATGAGATTGCCCTTAGCCAGAATTCATTATTGTGGTTTCATTTTCAGTGTACTAATTTCCAGAGTTACTGTCTATTTACTACAGGTAATGCTGTTTTCCATTTACCTTTATGAAAGTTCTCTTAATAATAATTTTAAATAGGAACATGAACCAAAGTAAAATGTGAAGAAACTAAGGTAGATAATATGGCACACAATAAAAGTGGTGAAGTGGATTTGAGTCTGACTGAAATACAGAAACCATTTCTTTAATTCTAATTGCCAGCTGGGTTTCCCCTTTATAGCAGAAAAGTAGAAGGGGGAAAAAAAAGTGGCTTTCCCCAGGTTACACTGTGGGAACTTATACGGGTCTTCCAACTCATGGGTTTTCCTTCACTTTGGGGCTTTTAGACCCATGGATTCAGTCACTACAGCTAGAAAACTCCCAATGACTTTGTCCACTCCCTCGCGGCTGTGGAGTCAGTTCTGACTCACAGCAACCCTGCCCTGGGTGTTGGAGACTGTAAATGACAATGTGAGGGGACGGCCCACTTTTCTCTCACAGAGCAGCTGGTGGATTCACACTGCGAGGCCTTCGGGTTAGCGGCACCACAACCTGCTACGGACTATACCACCAAAGTTCCCCACACACCACAGACTCCTGGTCATCCAAAAAGAAAAGCACACATGCTGATTCAAAAATGGCAAGGTGCTCAGACAATTTACCATTACTGTGGCCACACTTCTATTCCTTCTCTTCCCTACTGATTCCAATGGGAAAAACCTGGAACGTGAGTCCTGCTTTAACCCACCTCTCCCCAGCATGTCCCAGATCATATGGGAATGGGAATCAGGAGACCAAGCTCCTGAATTGAGATCTGAAGCAAAAACTGAGGTCTCAAAACAACAGACCTCTGTGCTTCAATGTCCCATCTGCACAGTGAAGGGTTTGGTCTACAGAGTCTCTAAGGACCCCGCTAACTCTAATAGGCAAGACTGGTATTTCTCAGTCTATGGTCCTGAGCCCATCTAAAGTAGAAACACAGAGGCTTTTGGTAAATGGCTGACTCAAGTTTCACCTCAGATTCTGAATCAGAATCTTGACACAAAAAGAAAGATCATGTGTGGAAACGTCTAATATCCCACCTTTCATGATGTTCATACTCAACCCACTAGCACAGATGCACGCTCAGAGCAGAACCAAATGGTGACCAGCAGGGGGCAGCAAAGCCCGGCACCCTCTTCAAATAGCCAGCTAGCTGGCCAGCCATTAGCAGGTTCAGTGAGCAAAGTTCCCAATGAAAGAGTGCTATGTGTACAGACTTTTTTTTCCTGAGGCTCTCTAGGACTGCTACGGACACTCCCCAAAGTAATAAAGGGTCAGAGTTTATTCTGTCTCATTCACAGAGAAGAAATATAAAGACCAAGGAGAGAGATTAAGTCTCCTGGCATCCACTGCAGGGTTCTGGGTCTCAGAGCTTTCAGCAATCATCCAGGGTTTTGCTAGAAATCCTCACTGTGCACCCATCCTCCTTTCACCATCCCTGCTCCTGAGGCCTGGATTTACCGAAGCCTCTCGGCGGCCTGATCCCTTTGTTCCAGGCCCTTGTCCAGCTTGGCCTTCAGGACCTCGTTCTCCTTCCGAAGCTGCTCACACAGGGTCTGCAGGACAGACAGGTAGATGGGGGCAAGGGTAAGGGTGGGTGTATATCCCAAATCAAACAGAAGACAGGAGAGGTTAGAGCCTCCCCTGGTCCCAACTCTGATCCCTCTGGCCTGGCCCTCCTCTGACCCTTTTTGTGACAGGTGGGAGCCAAGCCAAGAGACCATCAGGCTCCTCCACAATCGATGCCCTTGGAGACTAGCTGTGAGGAGGAGCCTGACCAAGGATCTGTATCAGGGCCCTCTACTCCTCCAAGTGTGAATGCGCCCTTCTCCCTCAGCGCCCTTCCCACAGCCCACAGTGCTCTTCCCTCCAGCCCTCCCCTGGCTGACTTCTACTCCTCCTTCAAGTTGCTGTCCCTGCCTCCAGACCTCAGATAAGCAAAGTCATTTCCATTCTCCTCACTCTGAAGACCTGAGTCTCACCCTTCTTGACAATGGTGACAATTCTCTCTCCTACTGCTATTGAGTCAGAACTGACTCAGAGCTGACCCTCCTGTGGGTTTCCTATGCTGTAAACCATATAAGAGAAGACTGCTTATCTTTTTTCCTCTAGAGAAGTTGGCAGATTTGAACCTCCAAAGGCATGGCCTTGGTGTTAGCTGCATAATGCTCTACAGATTACACCATCAGAGCTCCCTACTGTTGTCACTGGGTTCAACTACCTACCACTCAGAGCAAACCTCTGAACCAGGCATTGGAACCTTTCCTTTCCCTGTGCCGTCCTCACACTCTCTGGAGGCTCAACTCCATTAGTCACTTGGGAGAGCTGTGTACCTGTGTCATGACTTTCCTCACATCTTTACAAGCTCACAGAGGTTGGGAGATTACTCCCTTCTCCAACCCTGCTGGTCACATGACTACCAACCCTTAGCTCACTCAGGAGCCAGCACATGGGTAGCAATGAACTTTCTGAAAAACACGTGACTGAATGAACACTGAATAAATGAATGAACGAGTGAATCAGTGAGTCCTGGGATGCCTGCAAGCGCTGTCAAGGCAATGGCAGATGGCGGGGCATTTGGTTGAGACCTCACCAGTTCCTTTCTGTGACTCAGGCTCCACTTTTACTAAGGCTGAGTTCCCTTCTCTACAAATGAGACAAGTTATTTTCTACCTCCTTCCCAGGGTTGCTGTGGGAGTGAAAGTCCCTGTGAACTGGACAAAATGTGAGGACTTATTTAGAAGCACTTCAAGGTCAAGGTGTGGGGCTCAGAAGATTTGCCAGCCACTCCGTGCCCGCCAGATGAGCAGGAAAGGTAAGTGCTGCGGACGTCACTGTGATGTTATCAGCACTGAGATATTTTAGAGTTCAACAAATGCTTACTGAGCACCTCACATGTGCCAGGTATGTGGCTAGGTACTTTCCCAGACACTGACTGTCTCGCTGAAGCCTCATAAACCCCTACACAGCCCCCAAAGCTGAGTAATTTATCTCTGTTTTAAAGGAAGGAAAACAGAAGCAAAACAATGTGCATGAAGTCATACAGCTGCTAAAAATTCAGGCTGGAAGTCAACTGCATCTGGGCAACTCTAAACTGGTGTCTCTCCCCACTGAGATGACAGACCAGAGGGAGGGGTCCAGAGAAGACTCCTTATGGCATGGTCTGACTGAGGGTGGGCCAGGGCCAGTGCTATTCACTGAGCACTCACTCCCTCGGCTCTCTTCCATGTTCCAGGTCCCTTACAGTTGGAAGTAATCATGTGACTAGTTGCAGCCAATAAAAGATAAGCTTAAATGATAAGTTACTTTTACACTGGCCTTTACACTTCTACAAGTCCTGGGTAACACAGTTAAACTGGCAACCTGAACCTACTCAGAAGCACTTCACAAGGAAAGTCTGGAGATCTGCTTCCAAAAGATCCAGCCAAAACCACCCAAGCCCATTCCTAGTCTAGTGGAACCAATTGCAACATCTTCCTCCCACAGGATACCTACCTAGTGTGTTCAAACTGCTGCCTTTCTGGTTAGCCACTGAGTGCTTAAGCACTGTGTCACCAGGGCTCTTCCCAAAAGGTCACAGCCTTGAGACTAATTCTGACACACATGTGGTCACCATGAGTTGGAACCAACTTAATGGCAACTGGTTTTCTGTTTGTTATGTGGAATTCTTTTCTCCCCCCACATTACGGCTAATGTGAATGTGGCATATTCCAAACAGTACTAGACAGTGGGGCCTGAGCCCCTAATTAACTACGGAGCAGGAGCAAGCACACTATGAGATAACACTTATGTTATATGAATAACAAGATTACAGATCTGTTTGTTTCCACAGCAAAATCCAGCCCTTTCTGACTAAGGCAAGACAATCTTCAGAGGGCTAGGTATGAAGTCACACAGCTGCTAAGAATCTGAGCTGGAAGTCAACTGCATCTTGGCGACCCTAAACTGGTGTTTCTCCCCAGTCACGGAGATGACAGACCAGAGGGAGGGGTCCAGAGAAGAATCCTTGAAGGTGTGGTCTGACTGAGGGTGGGGCAGGGTCAGTGCTATTCACTGAGCACTGGAGGAAACAGCCTTGAAGTGGAGGGTGGCTAGATGTGAGGGATTTCCAAGATAACAAAACAGGTGCAGAAGCTGTACTAACATGAGGCACTACTGTTGGTTCCCTCAGGCCTGAACCATACCTGGCCTTGATAAATGTTTGTTGAGTGAACCAAGAAATAAATGGGTGAATGAAGAAGAATAAGATTATCCTACCTCCACCCACAGGCTGGGTATTTACCCAGGATGCCATGGCCTTGGGTGGGGCCCCCAGGGAGCAGAACATACTGTTCCTCCTATGAGGAGGCAGCAATGAGGCCTCACCTTTCCTGCCTTCCACTCTGTTTGCTCAGAGACTCTAGGTGAGTGGCCTTGGCACAAGCTGGTCCATGGATAGAGGTCTTTAGAGGTCATCAATATCAGCACATTTTATTAGAGAAGCTAATGGTGCTTACGTGTGAGTCTATTGTTCATTCATTCATGCTCCAAATATGTATCCTAGTACCAGGTACTAGGACACAGTGGTGAGCAAAAGGAAAGGCAACTGGGCCCTTTCATGAATCTTACATTCTATCAGGGAGCACAAAAGAAAACAAAAGGTAAATAAACCACCTAATAAGAAAATTATTACAAAATATAGTAACAGCTAAGAAGGAAACAAAAAAGGGTCTAGCATAAAAATAACAGGTTGGTGGGATCCCCTTTTTGCCAAAGCCTGACATCTATTCTCATTTCAAAACAAATCAAACAAAATAAAAATCAACATCCAGCAATGGTCTCATTCTATGCAATGCACTCAGCTTTTACACCGCAGAGGCTCACTAATATTGTCCTACTGAACACTGAAGTTCACTCTCTCGGCTGCTCCAATCTCTGTTCCCGTGGGCCCCTTCACTCTCGGTGGGACAGGAGCACCAAGCTCTCCAGAGTCCTCTCTATCTCTGTACCTATACCCCACATCCCTCTTCACGGCAGGTCTCTAGGCTGAGTGTTCTTGTCAACCCAAGTCCCTTCCAAAGTCATACAAGGTGGTCTCCTTCCACCTATTAGTGCCACTTGAACGTGTGCTGATCCTAATGAGGAAACACATTTGTGGGTGACTGATACAGAAGAATCAAAGAGAGAATAAAGGCAGGTAGCAGTGCCCAGATCCTGGCCAGGCACTCCAAGAGCCTCAGTTTTTCCACTCTACAGAATGGTTACCAATTACAAATCAATGCATTCCAGCTCCCAAAGCTTCAAGACCAAGGTGCCCTGCTCAGTACAGGAGACCATTACCACACCATTACACGAGTAAGCACTTTTCAACACTTACTGTGTTCTAGGCACTGAACTCAGTACTTGTATGCTATCTCATTTAATATGTACCACAATCCCATTAGGGAGGTATTCCTAGCCCCATGCTACTGATAAGGATAGTCAGAGGCAAAGATATTGACTTGTCCAAGGCTGTAGAGCAATAAAGGCACTAATGTATCAAAAACTATATAACTTCAAAGCCTGGCCTGGTCTGGGAAGGAAATCAGATTTTATTCCAATGGTACAGAGTTTTCAAAAGGATATTCAATTAGGGAGGCAGGAAGGAGTGACAGTCACATGGGCTTTGGAATATGACAGATCTAGGTTCAAATCCCAGTATTACCATATACCAGCTGGATGACCTTGAACCAAAAAATACAGCCTCCAGAGAACTATTTGCCTACCTGTGAAGTAGGGATAGTGATGGTTTGCACTGAAGGAGGCCTTTATGCGCCTATCCCTGACCCCCAGCTCAGGAGAACAAGGGCGGGGCTGTTCCCTGTCTACTACAGCAATTAGCTCTGAGTACCTCAACCATGACATTTGCATTCCCCTGGCCCATTTCCCAATTCCTTCCTCTTCTCTTCCTACAACTCCCTATCCCTGCTAACTACCCTGAACAATAAGTCCAGGGTCTTTCCACAGCATCATCCTTTGAAGTCCTTATGGCCTTTCCTAGCAGCCGACCTGCACCCCAGCCTCACCTGCAAGATGGAGGTCCGCTGCTCATTCTTATGCACCTTGGAGGCCAGCCGGTTGAACTCCAGGGCCATGCGGCCCAGGTGCGTGAAGAGCTGGCTGTGGTCTGGCTCCTCAGCACACACACTCAGGGTTGTCTCCAACCGCTGCAAGTGTAGCTTCAGGTTGCTGTCTTCATGGGGCAGGGGGCCCAGCTCCTGCTTGAGGGTAGGGAACATGGGTCACTTCACTACAACCCGGGCAAATACTGCCCATTCACCCTCTGCTTCCCCCATTTCTCATGACTCAGTTTCCCCATCTGGTCCCAGCTCAGCCAAGGGAAATTCTCTAGTTATACAGGTTCCCTGTCTGGGCCTGACTCACAAGGCAGGACCCAGGGCTCTCAGGCACTGGCTGTCTTGACAGCCGCAGAAGCCACCATCCTCCCACTCTGGGGGCCTCACTCTGGGCCTGTGCAAAAATAACTCATTCCCTAGTCTCTGTTGTCCTCATCTACTACGTGCATTCACCTTTTTATCCTCCCTGTGACCTCACAGGGTTCTTTTGAGGATGAATGAACATAGGGAAGGAGCACCTTGGGAAAGGCAGAGCACCATATACAGCACTACTTCTTTAGCTCAGGGACTATTAACTGGAAAGCCACACAGGGAACAAAATGGTTTGAATTTTACGTGTAAGTGGGTGTCTTCTGGGGAACGGCTCATGCAATCATCAGTTTCTCAGAGGGCCCAAGACTCAAAGCACGTTAAGAATCATGGCTCTAGGTATTTCAAAAAAATCCCCACTTAGTAAATATGTAAGTAAGACAATGAAGCACAGTGGGGACAAAGCCATAAAATTTTTCTCCTTTGTTCAGACCACTCCTCCTAAAGACACAGCCTTTGTTAGGCCAACACTGTGCCTAAGACCCACTGTAGTGTGTCATCACTCTCTCAAGTGCAGGCCCCTGCCTGGCACCTGAGGACCCACAAGCACCTCACTCCCTCTAAGGAAGCAACTGGCCAGGTTCCTCCTTCCTCCTCCTCTTCCTTCATCCCTCAGTGTCCTCTCTGCCTCTGCACCTCTGCTCATCCTCCAGGCCCTGCCCACATTACACCTCCCTAAGCATCTGTGGAGTCACAGGACATCAGAGCTTCAGGAGTCTCATTGTTCAAGTTGGAAAAGCAAAGTATGGGAAGAAAGAACTTGCCAAAAGTTACCCATGAATCAGGGGCAAAGCTAGGGCTACAATAAAAGAAAAGTTTCCTGACTTCATGCTCCAGTGTTCTGCTGCACAGACCTCACACTGTAACAATGGAAATGGACTCTACACACAACCTGGTATTTAGCTGTTGTTTGTTGTTAGGTGCTGTCAAGTTGACTGTGGCTCATAGTAGCCCTATGAACACAAGATCAGAACCTTGTCCTATCCTGCACCACTGTCACAATCTCCACGACACTCAAGGCGACTGTTAGTCACTATGCCTATTGATCTCATTGAGGGTCTTCCTCTCTTTTGCTGACCCTCTCTCTACCTTTGCCAGCAGGATGTCTTTTTCCAAGGACTAGCTCTTCCTGTCATGCCCAAAGGATGTAAGAACAAAGTTCTCCATGCTTGCTTCCAAGGAGCAACCTGCTTGCACTTCCTCCAAAACACATTGGTTTGTCCTGTGGCACCTCATTCTAGCAGGAAATAATGGTACTTCCTCAACTCTGCATTCATTGTCTTGCTGGGCCCTTCCATACTGGCCCTGAGGTAGCCAATGCTGCTCTCCAAGATTCATGGATTGCTTAGGGAATCTATGATTTCCTCATGAGCCTACAAACTATAGAGGTCAGGGATGCTGTCGTGTCTCTGCTCAGCCCAGGCTAGGCACATTAGAGAGGATAAGGAGGGACGTGTTAATCAGATGAAGTTACTGCTCCAAAGCTGCAGAAAGAGCATTTTCTAGGACACATCGCAGGAGACAAGACACAGAAAACTTTTCTACCACTCTGAGTGGCCTGGGGAAGAAAAGGCATGCTAGGAATCACTGAAAGCACGAGAGTACAAGCTAGACAACTCCTTAATTGGGACACTGCCCTGGGAATTCCTAAATACAAGAATGCGAGGATAAAGGAGCAACATTTGCCATTCAAATCCTTTTTGGAATGAGGTGATGGGAGCTCAAGGTATCAGAACAGGGTATGATTACCTATAGATTGGCTATCAAGCAGCTCAGAGAAAGGAGAGAGGAGGAGGAAAAGGCATGGTCTTAGACCACAGACCTTAGAATCATTCTCTAATATGCTTGCCATTTTAAGAATTAGTAGAATGAAGGAAGGTATAGTTGGCTAAAGCATCTAGTGTGATAAAGAGGGCTCTCATGGCCTAATGGGTAAAGAGTTGCACTGTCAATTCAAAAGCAAGGAGTTTGAATCCATCAGATGCTCCAAGAAAGATGAGCAATCCCTTTCCATGTGATTTACATCCTCAGAAAACCCACCGGCAGGTCAGCTATGAGTCAACTCTGACTCAACAGCAATGAGTGAGTGCGGTAGGTGTGGAGTGAGGATGCTGGTGGACACTCAGAGCTGATGGAGTATGTGTCTGTATGTGCATGCACACGAATTTCTGCAGAGTGGCAGGCTGACCTGCCCTACTGCACACCCTAAAGAGGACCATGAGAGAAACTGAGAGGCTCTGCAACAGGATAAATCACCTGCCTTAAACCGTCTGGGCCTTTCTGAATTCTTCTTCTCCACCCTGGCCAGAAGCCCTGCAGCCTGTGTGTGTGGAGACACCCAGTGCTTGGCAGAAGCCAACAGGGCTGGAAAATGCCCAGACTTTCACAATGGTGGGGAGCCCATGTGGCCCAAGTTGGGGAAGTCACCAGCCTTGGGATTTGCATATGTGAGCAAGAAACACACCCAGCTCTAGCCCCTCAGATGTCCCCAAGTGATCCCAGGGTCCCCAAGGGGTGTGAACAAGCCCTGTGCCTCTCACATGAGGCAGGGACTGAAACCGAGGGAATGGGTGAGACGTGCCCTGCCCATCCACTCACCATCATGCTCCTTGTGCTGCCACCACTCCCTGGCGGAGAGTTCTGCTCGTCAGCAGTGACCACTTCAAATTCAGAGGAGGTACCCTGTGCAGAGAGAATTACTAGCTTCCTGAGGGACAACATCTGGGAGACCGGAAGTTTCACTTCAAGTAAGGAAAGGGAGGGAAGCTTCACTACCTCCCGTTAGCTCACTCTCTGCAAAGAAAAGCCAGCCAAGGGTGAGTGCACAGGTCACCATTCCATGTGATACCACGAGGCAGGGTCCCTACAACTTGTTACAGGTCACTGCATGTTCTAAGGCCCCTTCACTGTCCACTTTTCTCATCTGTTAAGCAGGAATGTTAGATTATTGGACCTTGAATTCCTAACACTTTAGGATTTTATTTCCTTTTAAAAGATCTTGCATTTAGTATTTTTAAGAGCTCCATTATTTCCCCAAAGTAACCCAGGAGATGGGACAGAAGGACCTGAATTAGGATGGCCACCAGTGATGTGTGGTCAGACTTGACTTCTCTCAGTCCCAGATATCCCAGACAATATGAGAAAAATCTCAAGTTACTTCAACAAATTTGGAAAACTTTTAAAGGCTTCACCCAAATCCTGAATGGCTAAGGATCCCTAGATTTTCCCCATGTCTCAGCTATTCCCAATAGAAGTGACAGACTGCACAAAAAACTGAAAGGCTAATGGCCCATTTAAACTGTCAAATGACCCTCAAATTCCTATGAAAATTGCTCTACCAAAACAACTATGAGATAGCATCTCACCCCAGTAACAACAGCAAAATTCAACAGAGCAGCAAGCAACAAATGCTGGCGAGGTTATGGAGAAACTGGAACACTTATTCACTGCTGGTGGAAGTGTAAAATGGTGCAACCACTACGGAAGGCTGTATGGCGCTTTCTTGAAAAGTTGCAAATAGAAATAGCATTTGACCCGGCAATTCCACTACTGGAAATTTACCCTAAAGAAACTGTAACTGCCACCCAAGCAGATATATGCACACCCATGTTACTGCAGCTCTGTTTGCAACAACAAAAAGCTGGAAAACAACCCAAGTGCCCATCAACAAATGAATGGATAGAGAAGCTCTGATATACTCACACAATGGAATACTATGCAGCACTGAAAAACAAGGAACTCAATAAATATTATGCAAAATGGATGACCCTGAAGGACATAACGCTGAGTGAAATATCTCAGTCACAGAAGGACAAATATTGCATAGGGCCACTATTGTAAAACAAGATTGACTTCGGGGTTGAGGGAAGATAGAAAAGGAAGGGAGAAATGATGTATATTACATTGAAATAGATGGGAGAGAGAATAAAAGGGATATGTGAATGGGTGTTCTTGTAATTACAGAAATCCAGAGTGAAGGCTGCATAGTGGGGTGGACTTGGGGGGAGGGATTGCAAAGTTTTTCTTTTTCTTTTTTTTTTTTTCAGAGAGAAGAGTGAACTGGGGGTAAGGGGGGTGGGAAAGGAGAAAAGTACAACAATGAATGACTGGAAACCCTAAATCTCTCTAAACTTTCACTGAAATTAATAAGGGGGAGGAAAAACCAAACTGCTCTGCAAAACCAATGTCAGCCTTTCCTAATCCCAGAAAGAAGCAGGATGGATGGGTACATTCTACCTCTGGTTATGCTTCATGGCTCCCAAGAACCTAACTGTGAATGTTGGCCCTACCCTGTAGCTGCTGTGTACTATCAAATAAGAACACAGTCATACTTTCCAGCATATTTTCAGAGGTGTTACCCGCATGAAAGGAAACTGTCCATCTTTTTCCCATGGAGTGGCTGGTGGATATGAACCACGTGCTTTGGATCAGCAGTGCAACTCCTTACTACTAGGCCACCAGATCCTTTCCTAGACTCTGGAAAGTGTGCCTTTCATCTCACATTTCCTTAGTTATCGACAGGACAATAGAAAATATTCTCTTTGGACTTTTCTGTAGATTGAAGATGCTCAACGAGAAGATCCTTGGTTCCCTCTAACCTTGGTGTTACGGACTGAATTGTAACCCCTCTCCCTCAAGTATGTGCTATAAATCCTATTCCGTATACCTGAGGCTATAATCCCATTTGGGATGTGCTTTTTGTTACGGTTATGAAACATATTAGTGCTAGGGTGTATCCAGACTCAATTTCTTTTGAAATATAAGGAGGTTTCACAAACAAGTAAGGAAGTAAGGATGGAGAAAGGGAGATGCCAAGACAGCTAAAGATCATCCAGGAGCAGAAGCTAAAGAAAGACAGGACCTTTCTCCAGAGCCAACAGAGAAAAGAAGCCTTCCTCTGAAGTCAGCACCCTGAATTTAGCCTCCTAAAAAAAGAAGTTTCTGTTTGTTAATACCACCCATTTGCACTATTTCTGATACACTGCTGTTACTGTTAGGTCCTGGGGAGTTGACCCAGAGGCACAAGGATACCACGTACAACAGAAGGAAACCCTGTCTGATCCTGCACGTCCTCACACTCTACACTACGCTCCACCTCCTGCTGCCATCACTGTTGTCAATCCATCTTAAGGGGCTTCCTCTCCTTCACTGATCCTCTTCTTTCCCAAACACAGTAATAATCAAAATAACTACGATACCGAGCAGAACTTCCCATGTCAATCGAAGACAGTTTCAGAGGCCCTAGGAGAATATGAGAGGTCACACTCATCTCTTCTCCTAGCACTCTGCGGTCAGTACAGACATATCATTATGAAACTGAATAAATGGGAGGGATTACGTGTGTCATTTACTTGTAATTACCAAGGTCTTCCTGGTAAAATTTAACAATGACTTTCGTTTGAAAATAGGGAAATTGAGGCCCCAGAGGAATTGAAATTAATTCTCAATCACTCAGCAAATCAGAATCCAGGATGCTTAATTGCAACCCCCATTCCCCACGGTTCCGTTGACTTGCAGGATCTTGTCTTGACAACCTGCAGACCTGACTCTAAACACAACTTACACTGGATGGAGGTTTGGGGACTGGCTCCAGCTTGTCACTGGGGTACGTAGGATCAGAAGGTGGTGCCGGGACTTTTGTGTCCTTTCCTAGAGGATCAGGAGAGTAAGGATGAGTATGAAGCCAAGCAGAGAAGCCCAGATACCGCCCCTTTAGAACTGTTTCGGCCAGAAGAGCTTTCAGACAGAGTTCCCCATATGAGTCTGGGGAAAGGGCAGGTGGTCTCACAAGCCCAGGAAGGATGACTTGGTCTTGGAATGATAGTGACAGAGAGGTCTCTTTCCTGGCTTACTACGAAAATCTGAAGTGAGCTATTGCTCCGTGCTACCATGGACCTGTCTTAATAACAATGAAAAAGGCGATTTACAATTTACAAAGTGCTTTATTATCTTTTGTTGTTGTTGTTGTTATGTGCCATCGAGGTGCTTGCGACTCATAGCGACCCTATGTACAACATCCCTGAACTCTGTTCTGTCCTGTGCCAATCGCACCGTCTCCGACACACCCTTCCCGATTACCCCAGTCACAGAATCAATCCACCTCATAGGGGGCCTTCCCTTCTGTGCTGTCCCTGCACCCTACCAAGCATGATGTCCTTCTCCAAGGACCTGTCCCTCCTTTCAATATGTCCAAAGTATGTTAGACGAAGCCTCAGAATCCTTGCCTCCAAGGAGCCGCCCGGTTTGACCCTTTCCAGGATGAATCTGTCTGTTTTCCTAGCAGTCCATGGTACAGTCAATACTCTTCTCCAGCAGCACAGCTCAAAGGCATCAATTCTCCTTCTATCCTCCTTAGTCACTGTCCAACTCTCTGATGCCTAACAAGTGATTGCAAAGACCATGGCCTGTATCAGACGCACCTTAGTCTCCAAAGAGACACCATTGCTCTTCAGTACTTTGGAGAGGTCCCTTACAGCAGACTTTCCCATAGCAATATATCTTCTAAGTTCCTGGCTGCTGGTGCCGAGAGAGTGTTGACTGTAGAGCCAAGCAAACTGAAGCTGTGAACAATCTCAATCTCTTCACCATCCATCCTGATGCTGCCAATTGGCCAAGTGGTAAGAATCTTTGTCTTCTTGACATTGAGCCTCAATCCATATTGGAGGCTACAGTCCTTGACCCTCTGCGTGCAGTCCTTGAGGTCCTCCTCAGTTTCAGCAAGCAGGGTTGTACCATCTGCATATCGCAGATTGTTGATAGATCTTCCACCAATCTTGACCCCACATTTCTCCTCATAGAGCCCAGCATCCCGGATAATCTGCTCTGCACACAAGGTATGGAGACAGGACACATCCCTGGCGTACACCCTTCCCAACTTTGAACCATGCAGTGTTTTCTTGCTCTGTTCTGACAATTGCCTCTTGGTCCAAGTATAGGTTTCTCATTAGCACGATCAAGTGTTCTGGGATTCCCATTCTCAGAGTCAGCCACAATTTGTTATGATCCACAGAGTCAAACGCCTTTGCATAGTCAATGAAACAAAGATAGACATTCCTCTGGTACTCCCTGCTTTCAGCTAAGATACATCTAACATTAGCTACAATATCCCTAATACCACGACCCCTTCTAAACCCAGCCTGGACTTCTGGCAGTTCTCTGCTGATGTGTTGTTCCAGTCGTTTTTGGTTAATCTTCAGTAGAATCTTGCTTGCATGTGAAATCAATGAGATTGTTCTATAGTTTCTACACTCTGTTGGGTCACCCTTCTTTGGAATGGGAACAAATATAGATCTCTTCCAGTTAGTTGGCCAGGTGATTGTTTTCCAGATTTCTTGGCACAACTTGGTGAGCACATCCAGGGCAGCATCTGTTAGCTGAAATATGTCAACTGGTGTACCATCTATTCCTGGGACCTTATTTTTTGCTATTTCCTTCAAAGCAGCTTGAACTTCTTCCTTCATCACCATAGGCTCTTGTTCATATGTTGTTTCATGAATTTCTTCTGTGTCTGCCAATTCCTTTAGATACAGTGACTCAGTATATTTTTTCCACCTTCTACCTCATTCAATTCTCACATCAATTCTATACTCTCATTTTAAAGATAAAGGAACTATAGCTTGGGAAGGTCACCAATTTGCCTACAATTACACCAACAACAACTGCAAAACCGAGACTCATACGCAACTTTCCTTTCCTGAACTCCTGGGCTCTTGTTGCAGGGAACGGGGACCACCACATCACACTCTTGGGTGTTTCATGGCACTCAGCAGGGGCATTATTTAAAGGACATGTGGAGGCTGGACCTGCCCACCAAATACAGGACAGTGAACTCTAAGATCATCACTGGGTTCCATCCACCTACTGAGCAAAGATAATCATGAATGGAAAGTAATGATAGAAGGCTGTCCTATCACGTGACATAGGTGAGTCTGTAGGTGGAGACATCTGAGCTCCAGGTGTGGGGATCTCTTTCTCGAGAGCCCAGACCTTGCCTGAGACTTAGAGATGTGCCAGAGCAATGCAGTGACCACACACGTGACTTTAACCCTTAGTCACGGGCAACACCTTCCTTTTTATGACATGTATGAGACATGACATCTGAAACACACGTGTGGCAGGAGAAACGTACTGTAGCTACTTCAGGTTCTCCCTAGGTCTCATCTTCCCAACAGTCAAACAAAAGGAAGAGGTCTGGACTAGAAAGTCAAATGGGTGACTGAAAGCAGCTGCCTGGAAGGCAATACCTGGCCCTTTACCTATGTGTTGAAAATGATGCTGCTTGCTAATAGGCCTGCATCCACGTCTGGGCACGGTTGATCGTGACCCCTAGCTTTGTCAGCCTCAGGAGGGATAAGTCTCCAGTCACTTTTGCACATCATTTAAAGCTCCTTTCCAATCTGACCTTTTAAGGGATGCTATCACAATAAAATAAAAGAATGAGAAATATTCTGTTGCCTAAAGAGAGATAAATAATGGAGTTATGGGTGTCAGATAAAAAGAAAGATAAGGCAATCTGCTTCTATAAAAATGTACAGCCTTGAAAACCCTATGGAAGTAATTCTAATGGAGGCCAATGTTGAGGATTTAGGCAATTAGGGATACAGGAAAAGTTCCCCTTGTACCTGTGAGTTCAGCCAGATGGTCAAATGAGGCCAAGGAAGAAGAAGGTGGTTGGAGCATCTCATTGTCCTTGACCAGTTCCTCTGCCTTCTGCCTGAGTCTGGATGCTTCCATCTGGGACTCCTCCAAAAGCTCCCCTGAAGAGACAAGGGGAAAAGGGAAGAGTAAAAAGGATTTTCTTAACGCTACCATGGTTCAAGCCTGCTCCTGCTTCTGAGCATTAGAAGCCATGAACTTCACAGCTACCATAGCTCCCACCCACCAAGCAAGACAGAGAAAAGAAGAGGGCTCAGCAATCAGGGAAAATGCGGTTATGGAAACCTAGAGAAAACTGACCCTTTTGCACTCTCTTCCTGCCCAACTCCTTCATGGACCACTGTGGTATATGGGGGTCACCCACAGCCTAAGCTCCCAGGGTCAGTGGCTGTTTAAGGATAAAATCAGCCAGCCAGAGTCAAGATCCTAAAACCTCTCTAGGCTTCAACACTTCTCCAAACAGTGGAGAAGGAGAAGATCCACACCTTTCTCCCAATCTGCTGCTCCAAGCAGGGATCTGTCAAGCAAGAAGCATGCATTCTGGAAATCAGGGAGCAATCTTCACTCCCAAAGCCAGAGACCACAGACGGTAGCAGTGAGGCAAACAATGGGTGTTGGGAGTTTGGACAAGAGACACTCTGTCTGCATAGGAATCAATGAAGGCCTTGCATGAAGAAATGCCTCCGAGCTAGGGGCAGGGACCACACAGTCATGTGGAGGTGAATGAGGTTAGGTGGGTGAGGCTGTGCTAGGCAGTGTGGACAGTGTAAGCAAAGGCCAGTAGATAAATCAAGAGTCTATCCCCAGCTTGTTCCAAGCCAGGCTCTTCACCCTCCCTGGGTTCACTACTAAGGGGCCTGTGCCCTGGCTCACTTGGTAAGTTCTCTCTATTTCTTGCTGCTTCTGGAAAATGAGGTCATGCTAGGTCCATGTGCACAAACAAAGCCTCTCCCCCTCCTCCCTCTTCACTCAGTCCTGCAAGGCGCCTGATATTCTATCACCATGGTTCTGGGGAATCAGAGGTAGGAATATTATAGTCAGGGATGGGCAAGAGGACCAGAGGATAGGTGGGATAGGTATGCCAGTCCCAGGCTGCAAGGAAGGAGGTTCACAGGGAGGGTGCAGGGTCTAATTTACCTAACATCTTTATCCCTTGCATTTTTTCTTTCAGCCGGGAATTCTCTTCCACTAGGCGCTCAAAAGCTGTGGATGCCTCTCCTGGAGGTATGCTGCCCCCTGGGTCGTAGATCCGGTATGGTCCTCTCCCTTCCATGGGGGTGACTCAGGCCCTGCTGTGGTGCCCACCTGGCTGTAAGGATAACAGCAGTATATCAGGAGGCTGGCCAGGCCATGCAGGTACTGTCTCTGGGCAAGCTCTATTCTGTCAGTGCCTCAGAAAGCAGGTCTCATCACCCAGAACACAACACAGCAGTCAGGGCTGACCTGGTTATAGCCCAGTACAGCAGAAAAGTCACCTCTTTTGATCTGGACACTTGTCCTCTATTAATGCAACCTGAGATTACATCAGTTTGTTCCAGCAGCCTCACTGCAAGGCTGGTTAATCTGGAACAGCAATCAACTGTGGTGTGTAATGTAGAGTACAAGAGAGGCCTCAGGGCTGAAGTAAAACAAACTGGAGCTCAAGGCTTGTTTGTAGGGTCCAGAAACACAGTGACCTTGATTGTTCTGCTCATCTCTGAAATCCAGAACCCAGCCCAGAACTACTTATAAAGAGGATATCCAATTAGCACTTGAATGACCTAGCATCAATTCACTGAAGGACCTTGGATAGCCACCTTCCCCTGAGGACCCAGCTGTCCTATTTGCAAAATAAAAGTCTTAAACATTTAAAAGTCAGTTATCTCTAAAGTGATGTTAGCTCATTAAGGAATAAGCAAGTCAATTCCAAGTTCCATCTATATCCATTATTTTCTTTTTTTTAAAAAAAAGTCTAGTTCTTCACAAGTGCACTGACACATCACCCTCCTCTTCCTCCTCCTGTAGTGTCTCACAGAATGTCCTTCCTATTCTAATGAGGGCACACATTTTCCATCCATTTCCTACCTTCTTGTGTAGGATGTCTGGCATTGCTCTTTTCAGTTTCACTGCTTTATTTCATTTGAAACCACCTAACAATGTAATTCAGACTCCTATGACCCAACAAAGCAACTCTCTTTCCTATAATTCCCCCATCCATCCATCCATCCATCCATCCATCCATCCATCCAACCAACCAACCAACCAACCAACCAACAAATATTTGTTTAGGATTTGTTCTGTGGTAAGTACTAGTCTGGGTGTTGGGGAAGGAATGATAAGCAAACAAAATGGACAAAAATCTATCACTATATTTACATTCCAGTAAGAAGACAGATTCTTACAATATTTCAGGTGGTAAAAAAAGTCTTTGGAGGATAAGTAGTATCAGAGAGAGATTAGGATTTTCATTTAAAACTCTCTCAGGAAAAGGGAGCCCTTGTGGTGTAATGGGTTAAGTGTTAGTGTGCAAACCAAAATACTAGTGGTTTGAACCTACCAGTTGCCCCTTGGGAGAAAGGTGAGTCTGTTCCCTTTAAGGTTCAGCCTTAGAAACCCAATGGAGAAGTTCAATTCTGTCCTTTAAGAGTCACTCTGAGTTGGAATTGACTTAAAAGGCAGTGAGTTTAGTCAGGAAGGGCCTCAAGGAGGAGGAACTATCTTATCTAACCTGAAGGAACTGGAGCTAGCTACACAGCTACCTGGAAGAAGAATATTCCAGGAAGAGAGAACAATAAGTGGAAAGGCCTTAGGGTCAAAAACTGGTCCAACCTGTAGCCCTAGAAACAATTTATTAATATTAAAAGAGCTCCAGAAGCCTCCATCAGGGGCCCCCAGAAGGACTTGGGGGACAAAACCTCCCCCAAGGCAGAAAATATTGGTCAGGAATTCCCAAAGGTCTAAAACTCACACAATCCTTAAAAGAAAAGGACAGAAAGGATTAATAATACAGGCACCACTCATTAATCATCTATGTGTAAGAACCTACACTAAATGCTTCAGTTCCATTCTCAGCTAAACTGAATTAACAGCTCTACGGAAAACACTATTACCCTCATTTAATGAGGAAGAAACTGAGGCTCAGACAGGCTAAGTCATTTAGTCAAAATTATTTACATGACCAGCAAGTAAGAAAAAAGCCACAAATTTGGTTCTGCCTGATTATCAAGACTGAGACTAACTCTAGCCACACTCACATGGTAAGACACAGGACTCTCACTCGCATCATGAATCAAACCAGGCTTGGCAGACAGAAGAGAGTTCAAGTACATGGGTAGAGCAACAGTGGGCCACTGGGAAATTTCTGGGCTGTTTCTCATGCCTTAGAGCATAAGAAATAACAGGGATTTTTTTCTAAAACAATCTACATTATCATGGAATAATATAAACCATGAAAAATTCTAGCAGGTGGGATCCCTAACCTCTTCACTGGGACAAAAATGAACAAACATGGTGCACCGGCCCCACCTCCCAGGCCCTGGAGGTGCAGCAAAACCGGGCAGAGTCATAGCCCATACTCCATCCTTAGGTAGAAGCTGGAAGGCAGGTTTCCGGCTCAGGAGGAGGCGGACAGGACCGTGTTTGTGGGGAATTTAGAGGCTCGAGTGCAGGAAGAGATTCTTTATGAGCTATTCTTTCAGTTTCTTATAGGCTGGACCATTAACCAAGGTGACTATATGCAAAGACAGCGAAGGAAAGCCGAAGACTTTTGGATTTGTCTGCTTTGAACACCCCGAGTCAGTGCCTTATTCCATAGCTTTGTTAAATGGAATCCGTTTATATGGAAGACCAATAAATGTGCAATACCGATTTGGGAGTTCTCGCTCTTCTGAACCAGCTAGTCAAAGTTTTGAGAGCTGTGTTAAGATAAATTCATATAGTTACAGCAGGGGAATCCATATAATCCAATGCTTCAGCTTCCCTACTATGAGATGATAGTGCCACTTCCTAATAACACATCCTTGTCTTCGCTAAACCCTGTTACAGAGTTGGAAGCAGGGCCCAGTTCTTACGAATGGACACACCAACAACAAAATGACTCTGACCCTTATCAGATGAATAAGCGAAAGAGGCAAAAACAAACCAGTGATAGTGATATTAGCACAGAAAACAATATAGGAAATTAATATATCCAAAAGTTCCAAAAGTATAAGAAGAAAAGGTATTAGTATTGCACTCAGATAAGAGCTTTATTTACTAGGCTTAATTATCTTAAATGAAACCAAACCAAAACCCTATGTTTTCACCCAAATAACTGATTTCTTGGATGTCATTATTTAAATAGATGGTATTTTCAAAGTTAGCACTTGTTTTTTGTCTTGATTAAGGATAACATTAAAATTATATAACGTAAAAAAAAAAAACGAACAAACACAAAGTGGGTGAACATACAATGTGGGGGGTACCCACACCCTGCTGGGCCTTGCCAAAGCAAAGGACAGCTGCCCACACACGCAACAGAAAAATCATCACTCAGCCTAACGATGACTTATTTTCAACTTGAAAGGTCAAGCCCGATGTGGTCACTGACTTAAGAGACAGTGCACTTAGCACGATGAGTGGTATACAGTAAGGTGCTCATAAATGCTGTTAGACTTGAGGGGAAGCCTCCACTTGCTCCTCCTTTGGCTCAGCAAAACATCTGCTCCATATGTGATGTATCTGACCTATGTGAGCATTTTTCCATTGACTGAGCTTCCTGCAGGCAAGAGTATACATGCTTTCCTCCCATCCCGGCTGCTGCACCAGCACAGGTATGACACTTGAAAGGTGAGCTGTCATCAAAAGACGAATGGAATTCACAAATGGGGAGAATGAGAGCTGGAAGGGCTGTTCCCCTCCATGCCAGCATTGGAGACAGGGTACTGGTTGCCAGGCTGTGGACAGTAATGATAACATACTGTGAAAAAAATCCTCTCTGGAGGTGAGAAGGGAGGCCCAGGACTTTGGGAGGAAAAAAGCCACAAAGAGAAACGGGAATTTCCACGACCACTGACTTCAGACGTAGATGTCCAGCAGCAGTTCCAGGATGACTGGAGAACAGACAGAACTCTTTCTGGTCATTGTAGCTTTCTACACTCTCCTGGAGAGAGAACTAACTCATTCTAGAATGAAAGGGTTTCCAAGGGTAAAACAAAGTAGGTTCCATATCATTGGAGCCATACATGGGGAGGGCTGTAGCAGCCACAGCACGCAGCCTCCTGCCTCCCAGCCAGCAACACCTTCTTCCCCTAAACACCTGCACCACCTGCCAAGAGCTACTCACAGCCTGTCCTCTCTTGTTTGCTTATGCAGAAGGCTAAAAATGTCCTGACTCTACTCCTACCTGGTGTGGTATTGAAGTTAATAGCCCAGGAGTCCTTGGCATTATTATTAGTTCATTTAATGTGCTTCATGGGAACTGAATAGAGCAGGGAGGCAGAACTCAGAGTGGAAAAGACCAGGGTCACACAAAAGCTCTCTCCTCACTCTGCTTATTTGACCCTCTATTATAAAAACAGAGGGGCTGCTTTCCACCTCTTTCTGGGATCTGGCTCCAGATTTCAGATCCACCTAGGCACAGTTTCAGAACCAACAAACTAGCAGGTGACCCACCAACCGTGGGATCCTACCCTGCTTGTCAAAAACAGACTGTGGTGAAAATGCAAACAACTCAGAACTTCTTCCAAAACAAGGCCTCAGCCGAGTGGGGGAGACTCCCACAGCCCGCCCCAAAGGGGCCCAGGGGCTGCCCACCGGAACCAGAAAGGCCCAATCTGGCGGCAGAAAGAGGCCCTGGCAGACAGCAGGTCAGGTGGCGACCACAGAGCGTGAAGATGGAAGTGCTGTTGTTGAAACTGAAGAAGCCACCAGCCCAGAGAGAGGAGGCTGCAGGACTGGAGAACAGCTAAGGGTGGGTGGGGGCAGGAGTGTGGGCCCCACTGCAGCATCTGTGCAAGAATAGGGTTAAGAAAAGCTAGATTCAGACTTAAATTTAAATCTCAGCCTCCACATTGAAATACCTGGCCTATCTTAAGATAAAAGCTAACTCAATGCTATCAAGAAGATTCCAACTCACAGGGACCGTCCATCAAGTTTCCAATGCTGCAAATCACAAAGGGTCACAAAGGGAAAACACTGCCCATCTTAATTTCAAGGATTCACTGGTGGATTTGAACCACTGGAGAAAAGTAGCCTTTGGATTAGCATCTCAACTAGCTAGAGGCTATGCCACCAGACATATAAGCCATGCGCTGG